CGGCCCTCGAGGGCCAGAGCGTGGCCTGGGGCTCTGGCTGCAGAGCTGCCTGCAGTCCGTCTGCCCGCGCGCTGCCCCGCCGCGTCCGCGAAGTGCTTTGTTTAGATCCAGTAGCTGTTTGGGGTGGAAAAAGTTAAGTCGGGAAAAGAAATTCCAGCCATAAGGAAGTTGAGTAGGATTTTTATTATAACAATTTTTTTTTTCAGGTAGAGTGCTTAGGTGCAAGAACTTGTCAGCATTGTGGGGGTTAAAAAAATGAAAACTTGTCAAAAAATAAAACTAAGGGAATTACATTGAATTGGGGGGAAAGCATACAAATATGAAAGGTTTAACCTCAAAGGACACGCTTTATGGTTTATCGTGAAAAGAGTGGAATCGAGAAAAAGAGAACTATGGGTTCTGAAGGCTTAAAAAGAGGGACCAGGATTTAGGAAAAGAGGGAGAGATTGGGATGGCGGGGAGGCTGAAGAGAGAAGGAAGGAATTCTAGGTGGGGTGAAGAGGGTTAATCAGGTTGGGCAAGTTTTATTTTGTTATCTAAAGATAGAAAACTTTTTGAAGAGTGGCAGAACATGCCACCCCAATATATGCCTCTGGCCTAAGGATTATTTTGAGCTGATTATTTTGAGAAACAGCAGGCAGAGGAGAATCTCTGAAAACAGTAAAGTTACACTTTTGTAAGGGAAATTTACATTTGTAAAAGAAACCTATATTTGTGTCTCCGTAGGTTACCTGGAAGGGAAAGTTGACTCTAAATCACAAAGAATCTTAAATGGAGAAGGCACTGACAAATCTGCAAAACAAACTTTACCCTTGTTTACCCGATTTTCTTGTAACCTCCCATATCTAACCTTCCCCCACCCCCACCATCTTCCTTTTGTCTTTAGCAGATGATAGTACTGTATTAGGTGGTGACTTGGGCCATCTCAGGGAGTTGGTTTCCCTGGATATAACCCATATATACATGTGATATACGTATTAATAAACTTATGATCATTTTTCTCTTAAGCCAAGAACTCAAAAGGATAGAGGGAATTTTTTTTCTCCCTTACATTTTCTATTGTTAAAATTAAGAATCTAAATCTAAAGTGAATTGACTTTTTGGTATCTGAATTTTACCAGCAACTCTTTGTAACCAGTGAAATTGAAGGTGAGAGAGGAAGTGGAGGGTAGCTAAAATAAAATTAGATGGTATCTTTTAAACCATTCCAGAGTTGTTTTCTGAAAAGTAAACTGATAATCTGATTGGCAGAAATAGGCAAGTGAAACCAAATCCCAGTGTGCTGTTTCATTCATTCATTCTGTTAAAAAATAAGCAATAGGCCCCAAATGGAATCACTTGTGCTAAGCCCCACTTCAAACCAAAACTTGATACCTAATGGAATTGGAGTTTTAGCCTCTCCCAGGAATGTAATCTTAACTGGTCATTCTGGAATTTCCTGGTCAGCACTAATAAAGTAATCTTCAAAGACCCCTTCCATCCCCCAAAGGAAGATGACCTAAACCTGAAACTGATGCAGGAAAGGGCGAACCTCAAGTAAAGACTCAAGTCCTACACCTGCTGAGAGCCCTCAGAGAGATGTCTGAGGAACTGGGTTTATATGTTTTCCTTTCAGAGTATGAGTATGCAGCATTAAAACAAGGGGAAGTAATTGTTAGCAATCTCAGCATGAATCTTCCTGTAGGTTCCCTGTGGTCTGGCTGTATGCTGATCAGCCAGGTTCCTGTGTCTAGCAGCGTGTAGCACGCTCTGAGTACAACCCAGTTTAATATTTAGTCAATTTGTGTTATTCTCATGCCTCTTTCTTATATTAAAACTAGCCACTCTGCTAGAAATTTCCTTTTCCCACTATTTATAAAAATCTTCCTTTTTCTGCAGCTTGCGGACCTCTTTTCTATTTACTAGATAGGAATCATTTGAGAATGATTCAATTCACAAATCATTGAATAATGCCAATTCTTTGAATGTACGCAGTTGAATCTTTTTTTTTTTAATAACAATTCTTTGTGTTGAATCTTCAAATTGTCTGATTCTTGACACCCTCTCTGCCAAAGACTCGTTTGTGCAATGGCCTCATAATAGGCCAACCTTATGAAGCAGGTACTATTATCACAAGCCTCTGACAACTGAGGAAACGGTGCTGAAAGCACTAGGAAGCCTTTGGTTATTCAGCTTCCAGGTCCATCAGTCAACCTCTGGATACAATAGTCCTCTGGAACTTTCTTTTCCTTCTTTCCACAGAGATGGGGACATTTTGCTTTTCTTTCTTTTAGAAACCAACACCCCCTAGTCTGCTCTTCTTGTAGGGCTCTTCTCCCCACAAGACTGGCTTAGTAGGAATTATTAACCTCTCCTTCCTTAGCTAAAAACAAAATCTATTCTGACAATTTAGTTATGGGCACATGCTAAAGTTTATTACAATCTTGCTGCAAGAGTAAAGACCTCTGGCAAGCCAGTTCAAAGATTTCTCTCAACAGAGACAGTCACAGAAGGGGGGAAAAAAAAGTATTTAGATGCGAAAGAAGAGTAATTCTATTTAAAGATCACTTGATTCTTGACTGACAGCTTGGGGGAGGGGAGATATTGTCTCCAAAACATCGTGTATCCAAAAATTGCTTATATTTTATGAGGAATATTTATATGAGGCAAAAGGGTTCTATCCCAGATCAAATTTGGGATAATTTTTGTTTTACATTTGGTACTTGTAAAGAAAACTTTTCATTTTAAGGGGTTTTTTTTCCCCCTTAAAAAGCAGACTCAGGAGATAACCAAAGGAACAAGAGGTGACGTTTTAAATGTTTCCGAATTTTAAATAAACATTTTAGAACTATAATCTTTGACCTATAAGTTCCTTTTTTCCTTAGATGGTAACCAGAAGCCCTTTGCAGTACAGGTCCTTCTCTCATCACCATTTGCATCCTGGAGCAAAGCCTTGTCTGTAGTTTTTGAGCATCTACTATGTATTGAGCCCTGTATTGGGCACTTGACATATATGGGGGTTGAGAACAAGTCACCCCAAGATGTGCCTCTGTAGTATATGGATTGTTTTGAGCTAAAGGCGATTTTAGCTTTGGGCTCAAGAGAAACTTCTGCCCCTCCCTTGACTACCTAGAAGAACTTGAATTAGGGGCCTTGCCCATAATAGATTCTCAGAAATAACCTCTTTTAACCTATATATATGGAAGGGCAAAATAATAATTACTGAACGTGTGCTCTTCCTGCAGTGACTTCCTGAAGCCCCAAGGCACCTTAGCTCAAAATGTCATACACTAATTTTCTCTGTCTCTGAAGCTCTCATGCATATTGGGACTCTGATTCATGTGTAGGGGGTTTCCATATATATGTATATATTAAATTTAGTTATCTTCTCTTGCTATTCTGTCTGATGTCTATTTGATTATTAGACCAACCAAAAGAACCCTGATGGTCCAAGAAATTTTCCTCCGCTACATATACATCAACTCACTAATTCTTCACAACAGCCTTGGCAATGGCACCGATTATTATTAGCAAATTCCAAAAGATATTAAAAGAGAGTTTTATTCATAAATGATTTGCAAATCAAAGAACGTAGTCCTTGTTAAGAACCAAAGACCTACTGGGTCAGGGGGAGAACAGGGTTTTTAAAAGGAGAAGGTTGCTAGGGAAACATTATGAATTTATGTCCATCCTTTTCCGATTGGTGGGGGCAACTGAACTTTCGATGATAAGAACAATAGGTAACATGATAAAGCATTTAAGTTTTGGTTCAGCTTCACAGAACAGAGGTTTTTGGTCCAGCAGCTCCAGTACAAGGGGGTGTTGCTTACAAACTGCACAGGGGGTACGATTTATCAAACAGTACAATCAGTATAGAGGAGCTGCTTGCTCTGCAGGCAGTTTCAGAGCCCAAAAGGGCAAAGTTATGCCTTGTAAGCAGCTTCAGAGCTCAAGCTGCAAAAATCCAAATGTTGGGCCATAAGTTATGACATTAGAGTTCTCATTTATATCCAATTTAGTTATACCCATTTTACAGATGAAGACAATTGAGATCTCAGAAAACTCAATTTACTTAAATTCTCAGTTTTTTCAACTATATTGCAAGTTCCTATTCTAGCATTTTTTTTTTATAATGATGAAAGGAAATTTTTCTAGATTCTCATTTATGTCTTAATGTGATTTGAATACATTGAAATTCATTTTAGAAATTCTTAAAGTTCCATTGACTTATTCAAGGCTACGTTCTAGAAACTGAAGAACCTAGATTTAAGTCCAGGTCTTCTGACTCTGAAACCTGGATTGTTTTCGCTATGCTAAAAGGGAATCAGGTTGCCTGTGTCATGCAAGACCTTTTCCCCCTCCATTTGAAAACAGGGGTATGTTTCCTAGAACCTCAGAGTTATTATTGGACTACACACTTTAAGATATTTATTTTTCAGCATTTAAAACTTTTCTTAATTTTCAAATTTTTTTCTTCATCACAAAATACATGATCGTTGTTCAGTATTTGGAATATGAACAAAATACAA